CATCCCAAAGCTATCCTCCCACCATTAATTTATTACAAACACACACAATCAGGAAAGATTAAATCATAATTATTTATTCTTTAAGTATTATCATCTCTAAATGAGTTACTCAAGGGCATTATAATTTTCCAAAGTATCATAATTCAAACAACTATTATCATAAATTTTTGAATTTATATAACAATTCAAATCTTCAACATTCATCATAGTAAAATCCAAATCTGATCCTTATCATAACTTTCCAATTTATACAAGGATATAATAATTCAAATCTTCAACATTCATCACAGTAAAATCCAAATCCGATCCTCATCATAACTTTCCAATTTATTCAAGGATATAATAATTAAAATCTTCAACATTCATCACAGTAAAATCCAAATCTGATCCTCATCATAACTTTCCAATTTATTTAAGGATATAATAATTCAAATCTTCAACTTTCATCATAGAAAAATCCAAATCCAATCATCGTCATTCATACAATCACATCACATCAATTATCATAGTTATAAATATCATTTTATATCATATATTGCACATAATCAAAATTTCTAAAATAAAAGTTTATATCATGATATTGCAAGCTTATTCGGAATTCAACCCACTAGGGCTAGCGTAGTGGTGGTGGGGTGTGTAGTGTTTAGTGGGTGTGTGTGTTGCAGTTCGATTCCCATGTACTTTAAAAAAGCTTATTCGGAATTCTCTTTCATTCTAAGGAATAACTTGTATCCATATTCTAATTATCATATGTAGTAATTTAAATTTAAAAAAAAAACAAATACCTATATATATATAAAATATTCATACAGAAATGCTAAGAACATCTAGGGATTAAGATTACATCCAAGTTTTATAAAAGGAATAACCTACGAATATGATTACATATACCAAAATTCATATCAATATAATCTATGACTCTCTAGGGATTAGGATTACCTGGTCTCCGTTTTCGCTAACTTCTAGAAGAAAAGAGTAATTTGGGGCAGAGAACCGGTTGGTAACCAGAAGAATATAGAAAATAAAACAAATAAACTTTTGAAGTAAGGAGAGAGAGTAGTAGACGAGAAATGTTGAAGAGTGAATTAGTTTGTTTAGGCTAGGCCTCTATTTATAGTTGAAGTTTTAGGCTCGGATATGGGTTTCGTGCATTTATTTCCTTTTTCTTTATTGATGTATTTGACTCAGATATTGACTTCATACATTACTGACTCAATGCTGACTCAGCATAACTAATCAAATTACCAATCAACATTACCTATCAAACATTACCAATCAATCATAAATGCTTAAATCATCAATTGATTAATAATCCAATTAATTACAATTTATCATCTAATATATATATATATATATATATATATATATATATATATATATATATATATATATCATTACTACTAATTTATAGTGTATTATTAATATTATTTTATTAATAAAAATATGGGGTATTACAAAAACTGTAGTGAAAAACTAAAAGTAATGATGAAAAATGATCTTAATTAAGTATGTGTAAAAAAATTGGTTCACTTGTCCTGCCCTTGACCTGACCCATAAATACCCTTTTTTTGAACTGGATTTAAATAATGACCCACTTTTATTTGAGTCAGTTTTAGACCTGACTTATTTAATAATTGACCCATTGACCCAAAACTTGACCCATACCATTATGTGAAAAAGAAAAGAAAAGAAAAGAAAAAAATCACAATCTCAATTCCTGTTTAAACTGTATTTTATTTTTGGAAAATACTGTATTTTATGTATACACACACAACACCCGAGATGAGTGGATTATGATATAAACATCACGATAATGTTCTAAAGTTTCAAATTATGTAATGATATCCACACGAGATCACCAAGGCATTGAAAAAAATTGTTACACTCGTGTGAATAAAATACACTCATTAATGTGAAAGAATTAATTGATTACTATAATCTATTATCTAACAATGATTTATACCTATGATTAATTTACATAAAAAAATGTGTATTAGTATCTGGGAAGAAGTTTTGAACTTGTAGATTTGATATCTGATGGTGAAAGAGGAATTGTTAAGAACTCGGAACCAACTTGTTCAGAATGCTGAAAATATCCACGAGGAAGAGGATTGTTCTGATTAGTGTGTGGATTAATTGTTGCTGTTAGAGGGCTAAACATCTTATTTGAAAGTGGTGGAGAAGCAGAATTAGTATTTAGACTTTTATCATGTGAATCATCCATCCATTTACTTCTACTTCATGCTAACTCCCTCTTCTGTTTCCTTGAGAAGAAAATCAACCCACAAATTTGCAAAGCATTGAAAGGACAATAAGAACTTATTCAAATCTAAATTTGTGATATGAAAAACTCGTCAAAGTTGACTGAGTTAAATGTGACAAGACTAATATGCAGTGCAATATTTGTAAAGAGCATATGGATAAATAAATAATTACATGAGTTTAAAAATTAAATCAATAACTATAAAAAAATCAAATTAAAAATAGGTTTTGAAACCAAATCAGAAACGAGTCAGGTCAAATTTGACCCGATTTTGAAACCAAGTCAGACCCACTTTAGAAATCAAGTCAGGTTATTCCGACCCAGTTTTAAACTAGTTCAAAAAAATTCAAACCAAGTCAGACCTGACTTGGATCAACTTAAAGCGGGTCAGGTCAAAATACCTGATCTATAAAAATCAAGTTGGGTCGGGTCGGCACAAAAACCTGACCCGACCTGACCCATGCACACCCCTAATCTTAATACCAGTATTGAATAATTGCTCTTAGAATACTATATTTTTGAAAGTAAAACCATTGCTTTCTTCAACTACTACATTTTCAAAAAAAAATTTAGTTATTATTATCCACAAAATTACTAAGGTGCATTGTGTATACAATATGTTTCAATATAAATTTGGATATATAACATGCTTAGATGTCAATTGAAAATTTTAATTTTATATATGCGCAGATAAAAATCTCTGTTGAAACATGTCATTTCTGAAAATTTTATTTTTGTTGTAAAATATTATGGATGAACTTTCACATGGTTCATAGCATGTATCTCTTTATTTTTCATGACTTTAGATGCATGTTACTACTATCACACTAATGGTGTATTGAATTGTTGAATACATTCAAGGAGAAGTGTTTTAAAATATTATAGATGATATTATACATGAATTATGAACTACCTTTCACATGATTCATAACACATGACTCTTTATTTTTCTTGACCTTTGATGTACTTTATAACTGTCACACTAATGGTTTGTTGAAGGGGAGTGTGATAAAATATTGTGAATTGTTTTTTACCTTGTTCATAACATGTGTCTCTTTATTTTTCATGAACTTTGATGTATTCTGCAATCATCACACAAATGGTGTATTGAATTATAATTATTTTCCTAATTATGTTTAGAGTCCTATATAAGGACATATTTTAGATGAAAAAATGATACTTGGTGAATTTAGAATATAATAATATTTTCTTACCATCAAGAGCTCATATTTGTTCTTATCTTATTATTTCTTTTATTTGTTTTCTACAATTCATTTTCTTTTCTTTCACATTTCACTTTCTTTAATATTTTTCATCAAATTTACAATAATTTTTTATTTATGTTATGTTTATAATTTATTTTATATTTATAAATATTTAAATTTATATAATTTTAAATTTTTTAAATAATAAAAAATTCAATAAAAGAAAAAGTTTAGATCGCGAATCAGCCTTAACCCAGTTAATTAAATTATAAGAATTTGAGGATTAAAACTAAAAAAAATCCTAATAAATTAAGATCAAATATAATATTTTACATGCTCGTCCAGGAACTTTTTTTAACACCTCTAGAAAGAATATTACCACAATCAATATCACATAACATCGCCAGCTGTATCGCCTGCGCACTGCGCTCTGCATAGATGGGACAAGAATACAGAAATGTGAAAAACACAGTGAAATTGTGGAAGAAAAGTATATTTTATAAATGTGAAAAGTGTATGTCCTTTAAAAGGATACACACTTAACCTAATGGGTGCAGCTCAGTTGGTAACTTGGCGCTGAGTTAGTGGGATTGGATATGTGTTCGATTCCCGCTGAATGCATTCTTGGGGAGGGGGCTGAACCTTTAGCCATCACTGTTCCCCGCACTCCGGATTAGTCCCATAGCCGGCTCAAAGAGTCGAAGCTCGTGGGGATACCGGAGGGAGCCAACTCGTCTCAAAGAGATAATTAGGGTTGGGTAACTCCAAAAAAAAAAAAAGATACACACTTATATCTTTTTAAGAGAGATAAAGGAACAAGTTATGGAAGAGAGAGTGGAGGAAAAATTTTGTAATTTAAAATTTAAAAAAATACACTACATTCATATAAAAAGACCATCTTTTTAAATGACAAACATTAAACCCTTTATAAATTATTATTTGACTTGCTTTGGTAGTATAAATTTACTTAAGTAAATTTTAATAAGTATGTTAACATAATCTTCATTATTATATAAAAGAATTTAGTGATGAGTGTTATCAAATACTTATTAAGAAAAATAAAAATATTAAATAAAAAATAACATAATAAGTTTATATATTTCTCATTTCTGCATTAATCATCTAAGAGGACAACCGCTTTTGTTGTAGCAGTTTATTGTATGATTTAATTATCAATGGTTTGAATAATTAATTGTGAAATTTCAAATAAATTATACATTCTTAGTAAAATATTTGTACAATATCATCATGTAAGCGATGTATTAAAAAAAACAAATTTTTACTTTGTGTTTGAACATTCGATTAGTTTATTTAATAATTTTCAAAAACTTTTCCTCCCTATTTAATGATTGTTCAGATTAAAAAAAAAAAAAAAAATAGAGTAAAGGCCCTTTTAAATTTTTAAGAGAAAGTAAGCTAGTCTGAAAAGATTAGCACATTTATAAATAAATGAGAAACAGAAACAGGACAGACACTGCTATTGATGAGCAATAAATTTATCTTTGTACCAAACATAGACACAATAATAACCTCAATAATAACCTTTACTTGAATAAAATATTATCAGTCAAACCTGTTCCACACATTGTTAATTTGAAACACAAAGTTATTGAAAGAAGCTGGATCACACAAGTTTGTCAAAAGAAAATTCTAACAAGAAAGAAACAGCATTTAAAAACCACGATCAATGTTGCCTTCTGAGATGTTGTTGCCCAGCCTCATATCACTTTCACTAATTGTGCTTCCAAAATGGCCATAAGAATTCCACAAGTCATTATTTCCAATTTCAGTACCAGTGAAGCTTCCATGCAAATTCCCTGAACAACTTTCACCATTGAAGCCTATAAAATTTCCCGGAGGCAAAGACATCCCCAAGTCACTTTCAACATTTTGACCTCCAAAACTGAGTTCAGGCAACATCCATGAATGATCCCTTTGATCATCAAGACCAAAAAAATTGCCTTGAGGTAATGATCCAGAGTTATCTCCAAAATTACCTTGTGGCAACACTCCTAACCCGAAGTAATCACTTTCAGCATTGAAACTGCCAAAGTTACCTTGAGGCAACACACTTAAGTCATCACTTAACACATTTAAATCTCCAAAATTTGCTTGAGGCAACGGCTCTAACCCTGTAGGAACACTTTCTTCATTGAAATGGCCAAAGTTACCTTGAGGCAACACATTTAAGTGATCACTTAACCCATTTAAATCTCCAAAATTTCCTTGAGGTAACGCCTCTAACCCTGAAGGAACACTTACTTCACTGAAGCCGCCAAAATTACCTTGAGACAATAAGTGATCATTATCCACATTGAACCCTCCAAAAGTAGCTTGAGGCAGCACCTCTAACCCTGAGTGATGACTCTCTGCATTAAAACCGACAAAATTACTTTGAGACAACATTCTTAAGTAATCATTATCCCCATTAATGAGACCTCCAAAATAGCCCGGAGGCAAAATCCCCGAATCACTTGTACTATTGAAACCACTAAAATTACCCTGAGGGAGCACCGTATCAACATTACCAACATATGTACGTGGTTGTAGATTCATGTTACTACTATCAAAAACATTGTTCATCTGGGCAACTCCAATATTCACCAAATTTAAGGTTGGTTGTTGCTCCGGAACTTGTTCCTCCACAACCATATTCGGTAGAGAAGAACAAGAGACAGGTACCAAAGGTAAAGAACTAGAAGCAGGCAACGAGGGTTGAACAACATGACCAATTCTCTTTTGAGCATTCTTCATTTTTCCCTGAACATAAGCAAGCAAACGCTCCAAATCTCTAACATGAAAAGCAGATAAAGGCTTACCCTCCTTATAAATTTCATGTATGAAAATAAGCATTTCTCTCTCGTTGTTCCTCTCGTTGATCCTTTTAAGTTCAGCTTCCATCTTTCTTGTCTTCTCCTGCATATAACTCCATTGAGTAACAACGTTTCTGAATCGATCCATCTCTGGAAGACCACGATACCTAATTAGTAGTTGTTTAGTAACTTCAGCTGATGGCCACATCATAGGTACGTCATCACCGGGACCATAGATGATAATACATGCATCGATACCACAAAGGGTGGTTATCTCCTTCATCTTCTTCAACAACCCTTCACGTCTTTTTCTGTACACAGATCTTCTTGTTCCGTAATCTTGAATCAATTCAGATGTTATCTTCCTTTTAGTCAAGGGTAGTGGTGGCGCTTCTGCTGCTGCTGCTTCGGTTATGGAAGGAACAAGGGGTAACGGTGGTTCACTCACCTCTCTTCTTTCTTCTGTCTCAGACTCCATTTTTGCTCAATTGAACAGTGTTTGAATTGGAGAAAAAGGAAATGGCGTTGATGGGGTGGTTCTCTCACTTTCTCTGTCTTCTTCTTCTCTTAATTCAAGACAAGATAAGATTGGTATGAACGGAGAAGTAAAGGGGAAAATGGAACGGTAATAAGTTATGTGACATTTTTTTTTTTTTTTTGTTAATTGTGTAATTGATTGAACAAAGGCACTGAGGACCATATTATAAAATAGATAAATGTCAGTAACCGTCTTTTAACCCTTTCTTCTTTAATACTTTTTATATTATTAAATTTAACTTCATTTAAGTCTTGATCAGAAAAATTAAGTTTGAATTTTTAAGGAGACCGTGTATGATATTAATAAAAAATATTAAAAAATAGAGGATATTAATAAAATATGTTGTTCAGTTAATGCATCTTATAAATAATATTAAGATGCATCGTATTTTGGTTTTGTCAGATGCGCAGAAGTTAATTGATATCAATGCTCTTGTTGAATTCAAATCTTGACAATTTTCGATGCTATTTGTTCCTTTTTAATATATTAATGGGATTTATTAAGAAAAAAAATTTATCCAGCTCCACTCACAAACTAACAATGGGACTCATCAAAACAAAAAAGAAAAAGAAAAATTAAATGGATCCCACATTATTTTTTAATATGAAGGAAAAAAATGTTGTCTTCTTTGATAGAAGAATAGTAAAACCCTATATTAATTTGAGTAAAGCTGTAAATGAAACTTTCATTGGGGTAAAACGTTTGAAATGGAAATTCTAGAAGACTGATTTCTTTTTTTATTAATGGTTTTTCTATAATATTCTGGAATTAGCACCGCTAGGTGGACCCAAAAAGATCAAGCTTAACAAATTTCTAAGATTATATTTTCTTCATCCAAAAAGGTGATTAAAATACTAAATAAGTTTGAGTTTAATAATTAAAGAATTTCCTTAATGTAAAGAGTTCAAATCTACATTACAATACTGGTAAAAAGGGCTACCTAAAATAATAAGGATTAGTCTCACTTAAAAGGGTGTAAGAAAAACCTTGCAACATTTAAAAAAAAAAAAATCTCATTTGCTTCTGATTATGAAAAAGTATACTGTTAGAGCAAGCGACTAGACTCAAAATAGCTTCGCGCCGCACCAGGTTAATTTCAGGAAAACTTATTTTGGTAAAAGTTAAAAATGAAGTGATAATGTATATTAGCATCAATCTCTCATATGGAGAGACTATCATATGGTCCTGGAATAAAATGTATGTTTAATGCGGTGCCATTTAATGTAGCCGCCATGTAAACTTTGTAAATCATTGTACGTGTTGTATGCTTAAATAAAGCTTTTTAAAACAACCATGGCCCAAAAAGTCAATATGTATAACAATAAATGATACAGAAAACGCAGTTTCAAAGATGAAGAAAAATGATACAGAAAACGATATATACGTTACTCTAAGATTGCATATAATTTCTCGAAAGGAATCCAGAGCAATGTTATTTCAGACTTTTTAATGATTTATATTATTCTCTAACACATCCACCACACAAGAGCTTTTTAGGTTTGAAGTGTAGACATTGCACAAGCTCAATTTTTTTGTTTACCTTATGCTTATTTAATTTCACTAGAAAGTGAGGGTGATGAAGATTGAACTCGACCTTGTGGTCACCGAAACTCTAACACCAAGTAAAGAATTATTTCAACCCAAAATCTTAAACTATTAAACGAGGGCATTTTTAATAGTTTATAAATAACACCATTGCTTAAGATAATATTAGAGTAAATAGATTCCTTAAGATAATGAGTCTAAGGAGAAGCTTGGTCTGATTCCAGAAAAATTAGCTTTTTTATGATTACATGGGTGATTATCCGGCAAGAAGGGTCTTGTTTAAAACAGGATCAATAGACAATGGAGATGGAACCGTTGGTTGGTTAGGTCTTCCTATTTTTGAGATAAAGAGGCACATGAACTTTTTGTAGCTCATATATATGCCTATCTTTTTTGATAGACGGAGAATGAATTGTTAGAACCTTTTTTATTTTCAACAGGTAGAATAAAAGTATAGTATTGAATAAGTAGGTGTAATTGTTGAGTATTGTTGAGATATATAAAATTATTAATGTAGCCTCACCCAATAGCTTAAGCTTTTGGATTGAATTGGTTCTTTACATGGTATCAGAGCTTCGGTGTAGCGCGTTTGATCCTCACCACTCTCCATTTTCTTTCAAGTGGAATTTCTTTCTTCGCATAATAGGTGGGCATGTGCATTGTCCACCCTTCTAGTCCAGTGGGCTCTCGTGTGAGGAGCGTGTTGAGATATATAAAATCATTAATGTAGTTTCACCCAAGCTTTTGGGTTAAATTGGTTCTTTACAAGTATACTTGGGAAACAACTTATTTGCAAAAATACAAAGGGTGAGTAAATGGCATTTTAGGGAGAGTGATTTTTATATTGCTTGAAGCATGTAACTGGTACACAACTAGGCTGCATACCAAGCATACCCAAATTCAAATTTTCCTTTAGTTGTGTGTTATTACAGTAGTTATTGTTAGACAGTTTTGAAAGCCATGCATTGATTGGGTGGAGACATGTACATTTACATACAGCTGATGTGATCACACAGCAGAGTGTAATACGGTGGCAGCGCTGTTAGTGCCACCAACTCCATCATCATGGTCACCGGCCCATTTTCTCACCTGCTTAATAAAAGATTGGGTGACACAGTGAACTGAGAGCAAGAGAGAGAGGACTGGAGAGGAAGAGAAAGAAGAACCTCCTTTATTACTAGTGTTTATCTTTCTCTGTAAATTAGTGATATATACGATATCAGTCAAAAAATAAGCTACAACCACCAATTGTGATAACTTCAATAATAAAGGAGTTATCATTCGTGATACAAATAAAGGTCATGCAAAAGCAAGGGGAAAATTAGTCTAGAAGAAATGAGATAAAGAATCATAAAGGTCAAATTGGCCATAATTAGGTGTTAAAGATTGATAAATATAACAAAGTAATATATATTTTTGTAAATAAGGTTGCAGCAGACATGTCTAACTCCTATATAACCAAAGATGTAAACCTTCTTGCGCACATGTCTAGTTCTTCTTACAATCCACAAATAGATAAAATTCATTGAAGGAGCCATATTGCTTAACGAGAGTTGCAAGGTCTATATTGAAACAATAAATTAATACCAAAGCATAGTTCATATAAATTAAGGGGATTTAGTTGTATGAAGCAATTGAAGTAAGGTTGAGATAATAGTAAAGAGAAGAATGCCTAAATTCATATGCTAAACAACGTACATAAAATGGTTGCCCACCGCTTTACACCTTGAAGTGCACCTACTCCCTGAAGGTCATGTATATATAAGTCAATTTGATATTAGATTCAGCAAAATAACAGTTCAAAAGAGAATTTATGAAGTGAAATTATAATGATTCAAAAAAGAATTCGTGAAGGTAAGTTACAAAAGATAGAAAATAGAGATGCCACTATCAATAAACTGCAAACACAATAAAGAGGGAAGGAGAAGAAACTGTACATATTCTTCGTTCCAATCATGGAAACAGATCTAAGATGCATACTGAGCATGATGACAAAGATATAAATAGCCAAGTTTAAAAAGAACTTACTTCAAAATAGAAGGTAAATTCCTCTTCACCCCTTATAAATTTCCAAAGCTCATTAGTTTTATTTTTATTTATTTTTTTAAAAAAAAGAAGAAGGTAAATTCCTCTTCACCCCTTTAAAGTTTTCATCCAAATCAACTTTGGTACACTAACTTCAAAATCTTTACTTTACCCCCTAAAGTTGCAAACATTCACTACATTCCCCTTGAATACTTTGGAAAAAAAAAAAATTGTACATGATATATCCTTTCGATGCATCTTTTGAGTAAAATATTATTACAAGCGTAGTGGTTAGTTAACCCCTTTATCGGCAATTTCAATGAAACTATTAACAGTTGCAAATTTTTTGAATCTTCAAGGGACGTACTCAAGGGATTAAAACATATACTTGATTGTTGTACATGTAAGTTATGAAGTTTTAAAGTTAGTACAAACAAACTTTTAAGGGGATAATCATTTTACCAAAAAAAATGTAGTATATCCAATTGTTCCGAGTGAACACCAACTATGGTAAAAGGTAATGGGAAAATGTTAAGGGTAAGTTGATAGAGAGTAAGGTTCGGTGTATGAGATTAAGGGAATGTATCAGCTATGTATGAATGGGTAAATGAGAGATATCTGAAGTGTCTTTCCTTTGTTATTGTATATGTATTTATAGTACTTGTTCTGAGCGGTTATAGAAGAAAGTCGTGGGAGTTGCAACAAACGTGGTACTACCAGGCAGTTATAGGTATCGTGGTCCTAGGTGAGTGAGAAAGGATCGTGGGTTTAAATTCACGATCCAGGCTATGGCCTATGGTCCCATAATCCGGATTCTTGGCCTATAACGTTAGTTGGAATACAGATCTGAGTAAGAGGGTCTTGGGCCTCTGATTAGGTTGAGCTCCTAGGCTTGAACTCATCGGACCTACTCGGGTGTATAAACCCGGAACACCAATAAAGAAGAGAAGTGTAGAAAAGAAATTGAGATAGGACTTACAAATAACAAACTATTAACCCCGGAAGTTCTTAAAACTCTTGCAAGAGAATGAAAGACCCCTTTACCCAAATGTTGATCTGAACACAGTTTGAGGAATAAACCGAAAAAATCCACAAGCACCAGTATATCACTACAGACTAAAGCTTCATTTCATTGGAACCCAGAAACCAAAAGCCAATTTGCCAAGATGATATGAAAACAAAATCTAGCCTCATTTGGAAAGATATTGTATCAACAAATAAGCAGCAGCTTATGCATTAGTCACCCAAAATCAATATCAAACTTAGAAAAGAAAATCTCACGTGACTTCCTCAATAATCAGCTCACATAAAGAGAGAATCCAACGTCAACAATACCTTTATCCCAGAGTAGTTGAATAGGTGGCAAATAAACCCACGTGAAAAGTACGAGAAGGAGAAAATCCAGATTGAATTAAATTCTTTCCCAAAAACCAATTATTAATCATTAAAACCTTCACTCTATTAGTCACTGGATGCATAGTC